GTCGGTTCGAACCCCACTCAGTAAACGGATATCCGTGTGTGTTTCATCCTTTATCCTTTGAATGTGCACAGACCAGGTTATTCTGACTGACTGTCCGCTACCCAAGTCTTGCTACATATGTGAATAGACTTGAAGAGCCTTTACAAGAACCGAACTGGGATGTACAATGCGGAAACTCGCAGAAGAGTAGCAAAGGCATTTCCTCGTTTATTTCGTAACTATTTGTTGTTTCTCATGAAACGTATCCGAACAGCTTTCTTTCGTCTTTATCCTGTATGATAATTAAAATTTCTTGGAAGGTTGACTGCTCATACACATTCGGCAAAAACCGCGTTTCTCGTATTCCTGAGCATACGGCACACAAATTAATCTGAAAAATACGTCCAAACCAGTTACAGTTTGAGATGAAGCAGCGAGACATCAGGTATTTGAATATAGTGGTGTGTAAAACAAACACATCATCAGGGGTTAATGGCAGGGACCTACCTTATGTAATGGGGAGTTTAAGAATGTGTAGAGATGTGCCTCTACTCCTCCATGCTTCTACCTGATGTGGTGATTAGATAAGCACAAGATACAATTATACTCATCATAAAATAACTTTAAAGCTTCATTTCATGATGTAGCTGGATAAGAAGATAAGTGAGAATATTAGACAAGAACTACGTAACTCAACTAAATAGAACCCTTCTAAAGATGATAGACGGATCTGAGGTTGTCTCGGCGACGATAATGAAGACGACTGTCTTCTGGGCAGTAAAGCCATGTAGTCTGGTAGAAATTTACTAACGTTTCAGAGGTACGAGCTGCCTTTATCATCAGGGCGCACGGTGTTACTGCCCAGAAGACAGCCATCTTCGAGCTGATTATCGTATCCGATTAATTATAACCGTGTTCACAATAGTCCACCACCGTCACCACGAGCCACAGAAATTAACGCACACCCTCACGTCCTATTTACATGAATATTATCATTGCAGATACATATAAATCTTCCAAGTATTCTCTTCCCTTCAAATTTCCCTACCAAAACTGAGATAAAAAGTCTAATTTCCCTCATGTGTTCTATTCACAGAATATTATAATTCCAGTGCCCCAGCTCCTTCATATTTTACTTTTACCTTCTACTTCTAATCTACGCCCAGGTCTCCCTCACGTGGTTGAGATACTAAGACTAAAAATTCTGTATGCATTTCCTCTATATGTACTAAATGTTCATCCTCGATTTAACTGCCGTAATAATATTTGATGAAGAGAACAAATTGTAAAGACCCCCATTGTGTATTTATTCCGATGTCTCCATACAGATCACATAATATAGATTTTATTTGACTTTCATTCATGTAAGACCTGAGTCACTGCCAGGAAATATATGTACATAACATCACAACATGCACTCAAGTACGTCTACATTTTAGAAATAGGTAAATAAATAAGAGTGTTTGACTGGCGGGCTTTGTCTGTGTAAGACTAGTTAAAAAAAAGTCTCAGATGATATCTCACCGTTTATTCAAGGGGAAGAAGAGTGGTTTAGTGACTCAATACTACAAAAAGATAAGGAGAACATGCTGTTGGATTAGTGGGTGTGAAAGATGGTTTCTCTCCCTGAGAAGGTCATACATTGAGGTAGTTTAGGACAAAGGGCTGAGGAAATTACTTTGACCTAAGGACAAGGAAATGATATAATGGATAAAACAACATAAATAGGATCTTCATAATTATTTACCTTCATTACTAAATATAACGTCCAATGAACACAAGGTAATGAACTGAGAAAGATATGTAGGGAACAGGGTAGACGAGAAATACACACAATTTGTTTTTCTGTCGGGAAACGTCAACTAAGAGCCATCAGAGTAGATAACAAAATAATATTGAAATAACCGTTTACTGTATAAACATGATAACGGCCTAAACTAGAGTCAGCCGGATGAGGTAGGAGTCGAATGGGAAGGAAATCGTTTGATTCCATAAAAGCACGAAATTTCTTGGTCATCGTCCATTTTCAAAGTTTGGTCCGAGAATTTACCTGCTAAGAGCGCACATGTTGAGCTGTGACGCCTCCTGACATCACAAATCAATTCCATGGCCTTTGCTCACCTGTCAAGTGGGGTTTCCCAGTGACAGAAGACGATGACCGACAGAGGAAAGGCAGGCCTACAAATTACGATGTTATTATAATGGCAGGTAAATCACCGTTGTCAAATTCATATTGAGGCTTGGTCAGAGGTGAAAGAAACTGGATGTGACAAGTATCGAAACTGGGGCATTATGAACAGAAAACCAATGCCTTATGGCCACATTACCAGGAAAAGTTACTAACAAACTCCGTAGCACAAGGTCTTGACAAGTTTGTGTATTTCAGCTGATAAAGAAATCCTCTGCTAAGGTGGAACAAGATGGCTCATTACCATGATAACAACAGACAGACAATAGACATCATCCTAAGCCAATTGATTGCAGTTCCCAACTTTACGCCTTGCTTCTATAATAAAATCCACCTTTTGTACCTTAGGCCCCTGACTGCTTTTTGCACTAGAAGTTTCCAACAAAAATTCTGATTCACGTGTCCCATACATTTCGTCTAATTGGTAACAAGTGAAGACAAATTACAAAGTTACTCATTGTGCAATTTTTTCTGGTCCTTTGTTAACTCTTTCTCATGCCATTATATCCTCCTCAGTTTTCCATTCTCTGCCTTTTGTTTCTTACGTCAAAACTCTCTCCTCAGAACACTACTCTGCAAAAACGAGAGTGGCAGATTTACGATATGGTAAGTGTAATGAGACATTGCTGTTGTGGTTGCCTGGTTCGTAGGGGTCGACACACTACACACGTGGAGAGGAAGTAATTATTGACAAGTTGCGTACTCACATGATGACGTCACCCATTCACTACTTTATTTACATTACACACTGCATACGGATTCATACAAACTCGGTTTGTTTTATTATACCAATGGTTCATTGACTTTAGTGATATGACTCGACAAGGATGCTTGGTTTTCTGCCCTTTCATTCCTATGTCAGAATAAGACTTGAATGACAGACACTCCAAAACAAAAGCAGGCTCCTGGTTCAGTTGATGACTAAGTTCATGGTGCGCGTTGCTTCCTGAAAACTTTACACTTACTCAGTCAGCCAAGGAATTTCCATTTTATATGGAAATCGAAAGTTAACTGCCGTCTGCGTGGTATATTTCTGGTATTAATTCATCATATGCATGGAAGGACTGACAAATACCACGAATCTGTCAAAGGGGCTGACCTTCGGACCAATAATCGAACCCCAGACCTAGAATGATATATTTTGCGACCAGATACATATCACTGTCTGTATTATTATATTCCTAAATGTGTATATTTTGGTGATGGAAGTAAAGCTCCATACATTCTTAACGTTTGCGCTAGGAAACATGGGGAAAAGTGATTAGCTTCACGCTTCTGTCGTCTTTACTGCAGGTATAGTGTTTGGACAGCAATGAATAAACTGGTACACAGGCATATCCCCTAACTCGTAATTATGAAGTACGTGTATCGAATCTCGGCCAGAGAACTCTTATCTTCACTGAGGATTTCCGTTTCCCCTTTCGTGTCTCACATTCTGCCTTGGAACAAACAATTCGCAGTTATGATCAACTTCTTCGTGTTCAAGCACCTCAAATGATTCCACGTCCAGTAACGTCTGCATTTCATACAGTAACGTAATACCGAATCAATGATAAATCAGTTCACTGTCCGAATCTTAATATGCTTAGACACACGCCTATCTAGGAATCCTGTTTGAGAGATCAATGTCCCGAAAACTTTTTCACCAGCGGCAAATCTTAATTTGTCAAAGACACATAACAGCACACCGAAAAATTTCGACTCACAAAAAGGAATTGCGAAACTATATACGGCCATAAATATGTATCTACATATAAATGCCTGCCCAATAAGAATACAAGTATTTGAAAACAAAACATAACACATGTCGGATGAAACTGTTGATGATGAACCAGTAATTCTAATAACGAAAGGCAAGACAAGGATTGCCTCTTTCAAACTATAACGTGCAAATTTCTTTTAAAAATTCACGGAGCTCCAGTTGCATGACACTGTAAAAGACTTAAGTTTATTCTACCGGTCATAATTCGTTTCCAAATGTTATCTTTCCTCCTCCTCTTTCTCTTTTTCTTCCTCTGCTTCTTCTTCTTCTTCTTCTAATCTTCCTCCCATTGTTTTTTCTACCTCCCCCATGTCGTCCTGTTTCCTTCGTATTCTCCTGCATTTAAATGTGCAGGTCTCCGGCCGTTACCATCGAAGCATCTCCTCTTAGGTCAAGCAATATTGTTCTTGCCCCTTACGTCTGTTTAGGGATCCTAGGAACACTTTAGCTTCTTAGGTGGTCTAGCGGTTAGAACGCTGGCCTTGTAATCCTGGGGTCTCGGGTTCGATTCCCGGCGGTGCCCGAATTTATAACTTGTGTTGGGCAAGGCCGTGGTCTAGGCATCACGGAGTTTTCCTCCGGGGGCTTCTCCGGTTTCTCCGTGGCATCCCAACATGGACAAGCCTCAAGACGTTTCCGTACCAACAAAATAGTGCTATAAATTTATCTAACAACATTCCCAGCCCATCTCAGTTGCATTGATATCCTGACAGTTCTAGGTGGTCTCTATAAATTTGGAGATTTCGCGTTATGTAATATGAATTTACCCCTTAATTTGTCTTAGGTAGTCTAGCGGTGGTCTAGCGGTTAGAACGCTGGCCTTGTAATCGTGGGGTCTCGGGTTCGAATTTATAACTTGTGGTGGTCTAGGCAACACGGAGTTTTTCTCCGTGGCATCCCAACAATTACTCCATTCACACACAGAAGAAGGCAATTGCAAACCACTTCTGGATCATCTGCCAAGAACGTATATGAACAGGTCCCAGTCCGAGAAAAGGATGGAAGGATCCTGTTCATATGGACCTGTCGTCAGACAGAACACTAAATAAAAAAAAATAAAGACTTACCAGACTTTTTTCCCCAATAGCACTTCGCGTCTAAGGGCCCACTCCTGTAATCACTACATACTCATTGAAGCACCTGAAAACGTTCCGCTGATCACCACACGAACTATAATTTCGTCACCTCTACTCTCCTGCGTTATTTGTATAAACACGTTACGAAAAAACAAGTTAGGAATCGTATGCAAAATGTAACAATTCGCCAGAATTTAACATTTTACTTTTATCTTACGTAACACAACAACGATGTTAACAAAGGTAGCATGGAGACTCCTCAACCAGATACTTCGGCAATGAAGAGACAATTACTATTGCAAGATTTAAACTAAAATTGAAATAACTAGACAACTTTGGGGGAGGGGGGGATCTCCATATCAAATGCCAAGGAGTCGGTCTCTAGTTGTTATATGCGCACAGGCGGACGGTTGATGCTATTTTAATAGGCACGCAGCAAGATTACGAATGCGCCTAAGAAGCCTCGAGTTCATTCTCTTTGGCAAATCCTAAACCTACAAATAATTATCTTCTATCTCTACTCACAGCATGGCGACTAGTGCCAGAACCAGTACTTTGACATGACTAGAATAATGTGTGGCTTTCAACATTAACAACACCCCTTATTCTAGTCATTTTGTACGCTAGTCATAATATGAGGGTGTACTTCTGAGGAGGGGGCATGAGACACACAGTGTCGATGGAACGCGGAAATCCGGAGTTTCGTTGCAATATGGAGTTCAACCACAAGTATTTACGATGCGGGTATACCTGCATTCTTATTCCTGGAACTTTCATGCCAACGCAGTGCTTTACAAACTGTGACACGCGGGTCGACTGGACCTCTATCTATGCAATGCAACAGTTCCTATTTTCCACATGACGGCGCACTAGAATAAAGCCCAATGTCTCACGCCACATTAAAGTTCTGTATTATTCACCATTTACATGTTTTGTTTTATTTATGGGTTATTTATCGACACTCTAAGTAGTTCAGGATAGACAGCATCGTATAATACGATGATTAATGAATAATGCATTAGGAAATCGGAAGAAGTGGTTGTGCCCTAATCTAAGATACTATGCTCGGAATTTGCCTGGTGGATATGGTGATATTAAGTGTTGTTGTTGTTGTTTTGAACTATGTTACTGGTGGCTTGATCCCAAGTTTTGTTACATAATGAAGAAATGCCTTGAACATTTTAGTTACACAAGTTAAGATATTTTCCAAAATATGAGCAAAAAATATACAATAAAACAAGACGAATAGCAGTACTTCATGCAATCTTACCATTCTGTGTTGGTGTGTACTTTACAAAAGGAGTGCGGCTGGTACGTAGATGAAGTGCCGTTTCTCATTTGGTGTACTATATACGCAGAACAGACGTAGTGCAAGACACGTAAGGAGCAGCAGACAAATGCAGTGTTTTGGGCCGTATTACGTATACCAACTACTGCCCGCGACTGTAATCTTGAGACTTGCGGGTCAAGATTACAGTCGCGAACAGTAGGCGTCTTGTAGAATATCAGTTCCGGAGCGATAAGTCTGCACATGCACGAGCTGTAAAGTTGTCGTATGAGATATGGAACGTGTGTTATGACGAGCAGCTACTTACTTGCAGACACGTGGTGTTACGTTTGTGATATTAGTGTTTCCGTAAAGTTTGTACTTCGTTGCTTACATGTACGGTGATTTGAGGTCTGCCTGGTGGTAGTTCCTGTTCTGGGATTTCCGGATAACAGTGTGTGTCGTTCAAAGGAAGAATGTGTAAGAGTGATAGTAAGGGGGAGTGTGAGGGTGAGGATTTTAGGGAAAGGGCGAATGGTTCCGAGTAGGGTTAGGGCGGCGAGACGATGTAGAAATGTGTATTTCTTTGGAATGTTTATTTAATACATTATAATGCTGGCCTAGCGGTACTACCTCGGCCAATTCATTTTTTTTAAAACAGATGCATTCTAAATCTGATTTCTGAAACGTAGGGATTTTGTTTAACAATCACGGAAAGAGCTTATATAGAGGTGCTCTGTTTCTTAAAACAGATATAAGGTAAGTTTAACCCAACGTTCTTCATGATTATGGTACAAGAGATTTCAGAAGCGTCGTCAATGTATTCAACAATGGCACGGCTTACAGAGTCACATAACTTCGATCAATTATTACGTAGAATAAATGTGTATAATTTATTGGGCCTAACGTAACATTAGTTCTGATTATGGTCGCGTCGACACTTTATTAGGCAATCACACAGATCACAGCACAAAAAGACTAAACTGAATTATGGGTCCTGGGAAGTTATCAAGGTCTGCGTGTGTGCGTGCGTAAGCAAGAATAAATATTCTATCAGTTTGTCATTTCTTATGCACCAAGGAAATGTAATGAGAAACAATAACGCTCACGTTCTAGTAGATCAATCGATTGCGCAGGCAAACCAGACGGTTTAGAAAACTGGAATTTGCCATTACGACTTAACTTCAGTAGGCAGTGAATTTAAAAGTTTCAAGCTTGGAGGACAGAACTAACATCTGCATCAGGCGAAAACAAAATGGCATTATGAGACATGAGAGAAAAAGCGTACCATACACACGCTTCCAAACTCATTTTAGATGAGGTAACTTAATCGTTTTGATGCAATGAAGCCAAGGCAACGCACAGGATTGTTCACAACAGCTGTAATACGTTACAGATGCCATGAAATGTTCATTTATTTCCTTAGCACCTCCATGTTTACAAATAAACCTTGGGACCATGCAGCTTCATGCCCAGTCTTGTAGCCTAACGGGGGTAAAGCGACTGGAGACTGAAGCTAACAGTTTATATCCAACGCTCAGGTTAAAAATGCGTTACACTTTAAATTTAATCTCCGAAACAAAGCCTAGGTTTTCACTGAATGGCGCTTGGCCTTTTAATGGTATTTCATCCTTAGAACACCAGCCATGAGTATCTATCGTGTGGTATGTAGCATTATCGCAGAAACGAGGAGTGGAACTTCCCAGAAAATCATTTAGAATTCATTTTAAAGTACCGTAATGCTATTTCAATTGCTGCTGTAGTTACGGAATACATACTAGCGACATCAGTCGTTCCTTGCCCGAGGTATTCTCAAAATAAACTATACAGAAATATGAAACAGCTTATTTAACACGACAAACCCGTTATGTGATTTATTGTGGCCCCTCCCAACCCATCTGCACTTCAAGAACAGCTCATTGTAACCTTGAATTCCAGCGGCAGCTGAACCAAGTGCGTGGACCTCGGCGAGATTGATTAGGGAGGGCCCCCCCCCAAAAAAAAAAAAAATACGTGAGACATTTAAAAGTGATTTAAATTATTAAAATTTTAACGATTGCATTAACGACATATTTGAAAAGTGATCGTCTACGTTAGATAAAGCCGTAACCGCAGTTATAAAACAGTTTACACTTCTTTGTAACTCAAACGGCACTTCTTTGGAAAGCAGTATACCCACAAGCATTGAATATGATAAATCTGCAGTCTGGCAAACTACCAGTAAGCATAATATGAACAAACTAACCAAATAACACCACCATTGGGAAACACTGAGAAGTAAGTCATTGTTAATAAATAGCAATAAAAGCTCCCTGCAATTACCAATTACTCGGAAACAGAAGGAGCAACAATGCAACATCAAGAATAGTATAAGAACGCATTTAAAAATTTTCATTTACAATCCGCAGGCTTTTATAAAAAAAACCCTTCAATTCCTTCTTCACTGTTGTCGGTCTCAGATACAAGACCACACATAAAGTAAACTACAGCAAAAAAACAAGCAGAAAATGCACTTTCGAAACATTAAAGTACAGACGCAAAGCCCTGGGCCGTCGCCCACCACCTTCACAGCCACTGTTGATTTTCCCCGAGCACTTAAACACACGTGTAAAAATGTTCTACCTTCTCACAAGATACCATGTTCTAGAACCACACAGAACAAATGGAAAAATATGGTTTCCCATTCTGAATCTGAATATTACTCATGGGGTTACATATTTACAGCAGTGATTAAATATATTTTATATAGTTACTGAAATCAAGTTATGAAACTAAGCACAGTTTCACTGTTAAACCAACTTATTGATTCTTCTTTCTTACTACTTTTGTGAATTTATTTAATTACACACACACACACAATAAATAATCCACGTTCTTCCCCATATTCTTATACATAACTCTTGTTTAGCAATATTCGTTATTTTTACATATTTCTGACATTAACATTTTACGTTACGTGCGTAGCCTATAACAACATTCTATACATAGAACAAAAATAATAGCATAAAAACTTGAATGTTTTAGGGTGCAATTAAAATGCAACACTGACCTTCGTCCTGATGATGCACTCAGCAAGACGATCTGCAATCCAAGTAGTCTAAGGGGGCGTGCCCATTGGATTCTTCAGCAGACGACGAAATTGCTATAACAGTATTCCCGCCTTGAGCGGTATGTCGTCGTAAACAACCAATCGAATTGAACAACCATGTTAAGATAAATTTGAAAGTAAATACAATAGTAAAAACAAAAATTATTAAATTCAAATACAAAACAAACACATCTGATCTCTCAAGTTCACTTATTTTCATATATTCATGAGCTACAGCTTTAAGTAGACGAGAAATACCTCGAATAATGTCGGCAAAACTGTCACTGGCTAAATCACTATCACCACAGCAACTAGACATTGAGTTCACACTGATTATGTTACTGATTAAGCACCACACAGTATGTATTATCCCTCCACAAACATTATGCAAAGAATCTTTCAGTTACTACCAATTTATAATGCTATACCAGCTGCAGCTTAACCTCCTACGTTCTACCATCTCGGATACCAAACACGACGCAGCCGAACCAGTGCTAAAAACATAGGGACATGAAAAGTAACTAAACGTCACACGCTATCGTACGCAACCCATTATCATTAGTCAATAGATTTGATAACGAAAATCGCCTATTTGCTGATGTGAGTTACGTTAATAGCATCATTATGAAGACTTTATTTGTTTTCAGAAAAAGCATTAACAGGGACATAGCACGGAATATCTTTAATGAAACTGAAAGTCATTTCGGTTCATTGACACCCGAAATGTGTCTTCAAACAAAAAATACCAAAAGTGAAGAAAAAAATCATTGTCTCAAAGCACGAAGTTAAGTAAGTATTCACACTTCAATTAAATGTACAGCATCCTTAAATCCTTTAGATTCTGTTTCCTGTTTGGATTTAATTGGTATTCATAAACTGTTGTGTAGCAATACAGAATAAAATGCACACATTAAAGTAACGTTAAATAAGATCATGCATGATTTTATGCTGTAAACTGGAAAGCATTTGAGAGAAAGAGGCCTTGCCTATTTCACGATACGGTCAGGTGTTCTCTTAAGATGACTGAGGAAATTCGTGAAACAATCTCACAGTCAAAATAGCTAGACAGTGTGCATCTCAAAGCATTGTCTATGTCTCAACACAAACTTCAGTTTGTTCACGAATGACATTCTGGTAGAAGAGTAATTTACGTTAGAATAACCATTACAAATGTTGTAAAGGCGACACCGCCACCAGATTTAAGTTACTTTAAGTTTAGTTTTGATTTGGTCACAATCGTGAATAATTAATTCTAAGAATCACACAAAACCCATAAATGCACTCTGTAGAAAAATTACTTAATTTTAGTATGTGGTATTTTTTGTTGTTACGATGTGGAACTGTGGCAGTTAATGGCCCCATTGTCCATCCCCCAAGATATGTGAGTGAATATGGTTGAATAATACTGGCAGGGGAAAATCGAAGGACTCTAAGAAAAATATGCCCCAATGCCTCTTTGTCCATCACAGATCCCACACAAGTTCGCACACCTACCACATTCAAGTCATTGAATTTTCAAATTAAAATGTATAACTTTCTATGTTAAATTTCAAATTTTATAAATGAACAAAATGTGCAAATTGAACGTACATCAGAGGAATAGCGGACAATCTTTACCACGTTTTATATTCGAATCTTCTGAACTGGTTTCGAATAAATTTGGTACTTGGAGTCTATATTAAAATGAAAATTATTTGTTGCCGTTAGATCTAAAAAATAACCCCTACTTCACTTTAATTTTAATTCGTTTTATTTTCTAGATTTTCTCACAGATGGATACATTCAGCTAGCTGTTAGGGTAACGAAAAGGAAATTATTCTTTCTGGACCCTAAAAATGCTCCTGAAAACTTCATTACGCAGTAGTCCGACATATGCCCGTTCAAGTACTAACAGGAGTAAAATGCCGAAGCATATAAAATGATCGAATCAGAAAATACGAGGCATCCTAGAATGATACCTCAGGTGATGAATGTACATCAAACAGGCCTACAGAAAACAAAATAGTGTCACACGTAAAAAAGTCACGAAGACAGTTCTTTACGTAAACGTCGGAAAGATCATTTGAGCCTTACCTTCAAAGCATCTGTATAGAATGATGGTTATCTTAACAAGTGTTCACGTCATTCTTTTAATAAGCGTCCTGATTACTGATGTTATTAGAGCTCGAAGTTAAAATATTGACAACCTTGTCATGTAAATGAAAACGATCAAGAGCATTTCCCTCTCTTTCTAAATAAAGGATTCTCTCCTTGAACCTGGCCATAGCAGCTTTTTCTGGCTTCTCCTATTCTTCCTCCCCGACTTTCCCCTCCAAAAAGCAGAAGACATATGACCGTGTAATACCAGAGTTTACCGCATGACAGCAGCATTGTACACTGAAAATAGGTCTGCTAATTGCTTATTACCAACTGTATATAAATTTTACTAGACAAAATGATTTTAATATAATTGCGTTTACGCAGGAATTTCTTAGCGTATGAACCATAGAAATTCAACGTCAAGCAGGTTATTTAAATACTTTCACCATATTTATTTGTAGAGTTAGATGCCACTGTATAAGTATATAATTAAAAAATATCTTCCATAAAATAATCACAGAACATACAATGATCTGAACTACATAGAGCAAGTTCTTTGGCTGGCAGTAGCCAAACTTATAAATAAATTCCTTGCCCTTCTTGGAACCTGGAAAAACATAAACATTCTTAGGATGACTGTCTTCTGGGTTTTTGTAATGTGTAGTCTGGTGAACTTCTACTAAACTACACAGAACAAGCCAGATAACAGCCATCTACAGAATCACCGCCTGAAAACCTCAAATCCATCAATCAGGTGATCCAGTCCAAGTGCTTGCCCAGTTCTCGTTACTTAATGATAAGTTAGGCCAGTGGATCTCAATGTTTCCTGATTCAGGGTCTGGTAATACAGCTGTGGGTTTTCTTATGATTAATACTGAATTAATCTTACATTGCTCAAAATAAATACCAGTAAATCAAAATACTACAATTAAATCTGAAATTGTATACCTTTGTGTGATATTAAAATGTAAGAGGCATCACAATCGTGCACACTGAACATTCACACAATGGCAGACCCTGTGATGTTCAACACAAACACTAGTCCCTATTATACAAATTAAAATGCTATTTGTCAGGCCACTGTGTTAAGTGTTGGACCACCCAATATAAGCTCTAGTTAATCAACAGTTAATGTGAAAGATGCCACACTCATGCACATGCAAAATGTTTGAAAAAGAATACTGTGACCAATCACATACACTACGGCTGAGAAAACCTTTAAAATCAGATAGCTACTGAATGGCATTAAACAGTTTCTACCAAGACTTCATTTCATTGTACCTTAATTTCCGAATGAGAATATTTATAAAAAGGTAAAATTAAATCTCACAACTTAACAATAAGGATTGTCATGCTACATCTTCTGATATAATTTATGAACAACTGGGTAGTAAACTATGTAACCTATTTCTAATTTTAGGTTGTACCTTAATTTACTTAAATTACTATGCTCTGACCATATTTACCTCTGCAGAAAAGGCCCACAGTACCCATTGGACAAGAAGGTTGGTAGGCTCCAATTTGGAAGATACATTCACAATACAGATAAAATTAATTTGAAACAAAAGAAAGGAAATGGATTACTGAGCAGCTAATGAGATGTCTTTGAGGACAAATGGTGAAGGAAACAACAAATTGCAGCTAGTCAATCAAATATCATTAAAAATGCTGGTAGGGGTGGTGACAGACATTAGAATAATAAGAAATAGTTTGTAAATTCTTGATTTATAGTATTACCAACTTCAGATGTACAGGGTTAAATGGAAGCATGACTGTAAATTTAAAACTGGAATTGATTTGGAAGGGAGTGGTCATGGCCTACCAACACAATCTCAACAACAAAAATCCCAGTCAGGATAGCTGGTCTTCAAGGCATAATTCAAACAAGAGAATTTTGAATATGAAATGTGTGATAACCACTATACCACAACATTCCTTCTCCTACCATTTCTTCATTTCATAGAATTTGGTTTCAAATGAAACAATTTGTATTCATACATCAATATGCCTAGAACATATTTCCTGTCTTATAAGTGCACATCTTTCAGAAGTTAATGACTTATGGCACCTACTTTCCTTCACATGCTTCATTCTGTATGATGATGCTAGGAACAACTACTACACAATTTAGGCACCCATTTCTTCAAACAGCTGGCTCCTCATTATCCAACCTAAACAGAACTGACAGGCAGGTGGATACTCAAAATTGTTGGACAATATGGTCGATTAACAAAAAAGACTAGGGTAAATAACAGCTCAATTAAATTATTAAATTACATCCAGATTAGCTCTATCTAGTGGGCCCAACTGTGTAGGAACCTGAAGACGAAGATAGAGCCCCATCTCCGAAACGTCGTTCTACGTTTTATATTTTATACTTTACTAGACGATGGATAATATCCAAGGAAATTTTTATTCAAAGAAAATACAATATGGCATCAAATCAAGAATTTTGCAAATAATACTAGTACTTAACGTAATGCAAATTTATAAATGAAAGTTTTTTTTCCCCAAGTAATTAATAACAAGTATTTGCTTCTGAGCCTCACTTCCTTTTCTTTGAAGCAAGATCATGCCAGCGACTGAACAATAGTACATCTGTCGTGACTTAGTACAAGAAATACAGAATGTATTCAGTTAACTGTTGATAAAATTGAGCATTCTCACATGACATGTTGGATAACCAAAGGTCTGATAATTGGGAATATATTGTATATAATTTTCAACAGTATACAATTCTTAATATATTACAAAAATCTTTCACACACAATTCATAGTTTTGTTTGACATAGCACTATTCAAAGAATATATGAAAATGTTAATTAATGACTTTAATGAGTGCCTTCAAGTAATGGTTCTCACTTCAAACATGCCCTATAAAAATTATTTACTGAAGTAATAAAGTACCTATTATTGCTGTATATTGTGGGTTATTTCATATAGAGCCATACCATAGAAACAAGACTGTGTGAGCAGGATATGAAGTTCTCACAGCAGTGAGTACACAGATGGTGGAGGCAGCAAGGTCCTTTGAAACAATGGTTAACTTCTACCAGACTATACGGCACTACAACCCAGAAGATGGTCATCTGTAAGTAATAATTGAACTCCACATATCACCCTACACATCTTCTTCAATTTAATTATAATTTTAGCCTCATACAATTATACTCTCATTCTGCCCTGTCCTTCTTAATAAAATTGGAAAGTGAAAATAAAAATATGAAAATGAAAGCTATTCTTGTGAAACATGTATTCCTTTTGGTCCCAAGTTCATCAAAGTAATAACTTTCACCACCATTTCATTTCTTCTCTTCAGCATTAATACCATATTTTGTTTTCATCTTGTCAATTTCTTCCTTCTTCTTATCAATATCAATCCTCTTGAACGCTTTGTTAGACTGTAAAAAATACACATCATTACATACAAAATCATCTCACATGATTAAATGAAGAATAAAATAAAACTCAAATTAAATATTCTAGAGAGAGAGAGAGAGAGAGAGAGAAAGAAGAAAAGAGGGGGGCAAATGTTAATTTAAAATGGGGAAGAATATTTTACTGTCCTTACAACAAAGGCTACAGAGTATTTAGGGGTTTTATTTGGTAATTAACACTTCACTTCATCTAATATAGTGGAAAGAGGTGTAATTACATGTCTCCCACTGCACTTAATCTACTGAAATACAGAGTAGCAATTTCAAGTTAAATGATCATTGAGTGTCAAGATACAGTGAATTTAAAATGAATATCACAGGGTTAGATGCTTCAAAATTTAAAATGTACAATGGATTCACTCTGGAACTGACAGTGATTTATAAACTGCAGAAAAATGTGAACCGATTTGCAGAGTACAGCAAGCACAGGAATTCTTGCCCGGTGACATTCTTTATACTTACAGACAGCTGACATACTTGTGAGTGACAACATATTACTGCTCTGTCTGACTGCCCCACAACATGACAATGTCAGAACTGCATGTGCTTGTTAAGAGTATGATACAGTGGAAAGTACTGACTGACTGATTGGTCTGTTATCACCTAATACAATGCCAGTTCAGTCTAAAATACATTCACTAACTGAGCAGATCCAGTAAATTATGAAAGTGCCTAAAAATTTATAAACAGTGAGAAGCAGAAATAATAATTAATTAATTTACTTTGCCAAATTTCTATAATAATAGAAAATCAAAAACAAAGTCAAAGAAGCAATGGGAGTATCTGGAAAGTCCCTAGAAGCAGAATATAAAGAATAAGGCACTTCACTTGGAATCAATAGCAAAAAGCACAATCTAATGGTAAAAGCATGTTCCTTTTAAACATTAGGAATACAAACACAAGGCATCAGGGTAGAATTGCCCAACAGATTACAATCTAAAGTGTAAAACTTACCTGGTAATACAATACAACAAGGTACCGATTACAGACATTAAAGCCTGATAAATGATCACAAGCATTCTTAGCATCAAAAATATCTTCATATACAACAAATGCTGTTCCTCTTGTTTCAGGAGTGTTACCACTGGAAATAAAAGCAACCTTGATGTCATGCTCATTTGGAAACATATAGGCTAAAAAGTACAATTACAATAGAATATTAGTACAAATGTGCCATGTAACTCACACTCTAATTTGCCGAATTGCTCCGTATTTCCCAAATATATCGTACATTTCCTCAGCAGTAATCTTGTATGGAAGGTTACGAATATATAATATTCTGTTGACTTCAGGTGGTAGTCTCACCTACAGGGAAAAACAGAAACATCAAATTGAAGTTTAAAGGTTAGCAGGCTAACTCAATATTCATAAATTAAAAAGAAAACAGAGCAAAGAAAATTATACTATTAAAATTCTAGGTTATGAATAGTTTCGCAAACAAAACCAAACATATTAAATTTGCCGTTAACATTATTCACACTTACATTTGTCCGCCGTTGCATCATAGCCATTTCGGTAAGCAAATTAGTTGTTTTTAGTTATATTTCAAAGAATACAATAATACATACAACTGCAAACACTGATCTACCTGATCCCAGTAAATACCAACATCCAACTACAACGAAAATAATCACAGATTATCAGTTAACTATGTTACCAACATTGCACTCAGTGGATCACAGATTACAATAAAAAAGTAAAGCTGTCCTGCTACATGCTAGAAAGACCAAAAGCTAGATGAATAAAGAAAATCCATGACAGGAGTAAAACGATGGATAGAATAGAATTATGACCAAAAATAAGTCAATGGTGTTAATAAAATTATGTTATATGAATTTAAGGGTTTATTCAGCAGAAATTATGTTGGGGACCTCAGTTTAATTGCTATACTAGTACAAACATCACAGATATGAAATTTTGAATGTTCTTTTGGGTGAGGGGAGGGCAAAAGAACACAAGAGGCCATCAGCAGTAGGTCAAACCAAATTTGCTACACATTTGAGTAAGCCCATTTCAGATTTACAATACTTGAGTCATCTGAAAAGTGCAAAACCAAACTAAGATGCTGAAGACTGGTTATCTCTCAAGCTGAAAACAGACTTGCACATCTAAAAGCACTGAGGCTGTTACTGACATGAAGATGCTTAATATGTAAAGGAAAGAGGAAGATAAAACAAGAGTAAAATTACAAATGTTATAGGTACAAAAATAAGTATTTCTTCAAGTTGTTAAAATAAAAATCAATTACTCTGCAATGAACACTTCACTTTATTACAACATAAGTATTTTATTAACAGTAAACATTGACATCAGTACAGCAGCTGCATAAAAATATTTAAAATCTATTGGAAGGGTATCTGCAAATGCATATCAGCAACTTCTAAAAATGTTCAGGTAATGGTACATCTTAGTGGAAGTCTTCTTTAGTAAAACACTGGTACTTAACATTAATCTGCTATTCTACAGTGTTTATACCTCTAGAAGAAATATTCCAGGCCACAGATGTAAGAGTAAACTTTGGAGTTTTCATATTACAAACATGTGGTTCTATCACAGAGGTGCAGGTAAGGTTGGAATGAAATTTATATAAATATGCAGCCAACTTGTAAAACAGATGGTAGAGGAGTTAAACTTTGTTGAAAGCTGCAATGTCCACACTTTGTACCTGAAATAATAAAACATACCTATTTTTGACAAACCACATTTGTTTCATGCTGCAGTGTCAACACTTTGTACCAGAAAAATAAAATATTTATTTTAATAAATAACATACCACAAAACCAAACATATATCTGGATAAGCAAATGTGAATTAACTCACAGCTGATGTGAATAGCAAAAATTAGGTTGATGTTTAGAAAGATCTATACCAGAAAATAGATGCACTTGTTACCAGTACCTAGTACATTGGGAAAATACACACTTTTACAAATACTATGTACTATTATCAAATATTCAAAATGCTGTTCTTGCAACTGGATGTAAAATTTATATATATATGACCATAAACAATGAGTAACTTTTCTATTAAGGTACAATCTCTCAAAATAACACACATGCAAATCTCAAACCAATCCCTTTTCAAAATAGATTTCCTATGAAACCTGATATTCACAACTTCCAACACAGCCATTTGCAACTTATACTTGTTCAACAAACACACACACACACACAAAACAACGCTGTCCAGATGGGAGAGCAACTTCAATGGGCATCCAGGGTGACATGAAACATCATCACAAAATATGCTATACTTCAAACTTCCAATTTTCCCATTATTATTCATTTTTAGTATGTTTTAATTACCTTAGGTAATGAATAGCAACATTGAAGATTTCCGTCTTCTGGGTTGTTGCGCTGTGTAGTCCGGTCGATGTTAACCAACGTGTCAGAGGTCATACTGCCTCCATCATCAGGGCGATGAAGATTTCTTCTTCTGGGTTGTTGCACTGTGTAGTCCGGTCGATGTTAACCAACGTGTCAGAGGTCATACTGCCTCCATCATCAGGGCGATGAAGATTTCTTCTTCTGGGTTGTTGCACTGTGTAGTCCGGTCGATGTTAACCAACGTGTCAGAGGTCATACTGCCTCCGTCATCAGGGCGATGACGGAGGCAGTATGACCTCTGACACGTTGGTTAACATCGACCGGACTACACAGCGCAACAACCCAGAAGGCGGAAATCTTCATACTCACTGCTGTGAGAACCTCAAGTCTTACAATAGCAACATTGTCGCTTGACACTGTAATATGAAGGCATAATGGATTAAGTCCAGACAAACAGCTATATTGAATGTAACATACCATCATTATAGAGCTGTGTCATTTGTTGGATTAACAACCACTTAACTCTGCCCACTGCTCTCCCATTGGACAGTTCCTATGAAGAATGGAATCTGCTAAGTCTACATGTGTGTATATCAACCATTTGTATCACACCAGTCCTTAATAATCGGCATGAGTTTCAGAAATGTCTGATTTGTATTCCATACTGATGCATCTAGTTGCCAGATAGAATTCATCGGCTACACTATTGTAAAGTATACTTACATAATCTTCAATTTCTTCCAGAGTTTCTTGCAACCAATCCACAGACACTTTGTCGTCTTCAACAACACAGGATATCTGAAGCTTGTGAATACTAAATGCTAATGGAACAAGCTTCGCTGCAAAGCACAACAGTCAAAATCAAAGCTCTTAATATATTAAAACTAATAATTTAAAATTACAAAGCCAGCTGCTGTTCAACCAAAACACACTATCCCAGCATAAGGCTTGAAAATTTTCTCCAACAAATGTCTCCATTACTAAACCTTCATAAAACACAGAGAGGCTATGAGGTACCAAAGCTCAGTAACCCCTTATCCAACACAACTTGCTTTATGTATCAAACAAATACAAAATTATTTTCTACATGTGGAATATTTGAAAATCCACAGGCAGCTGAACTAGTTCACACAAGGGTGAGTACAAAGATGGCTGACTTCTGGGATGTACCGTGGTGCAGTCTGGCCAAAGTCTAATGTTTCAAAGGTCCTTGCTGGCTACATCATCAGGGTAGACACCCTAATCACCTCTGGAACTTCTAACAGACTACACAGTGATACAGCCATCTCCATTTCCTTGGAGTGTACAGCTGAACTGCCTGACAATCCTAATGGTCCACTGACTTCAAACAATCCTTAAGCTTCTAAATGCTACATCATTTACAGGTATGTAATCTACAACAAAATTTAATACTGAATACAATTTCATTTATCATATGTAGTATATGTCATAAACTTTTATTATCTTCTTATTTTTCATTGTTTTTATATCATAGAACAGGTAGGGCCATGCATGTGTTTAAAAAATCTATGTATCTAATAGGAAACTTCATGTGGCTATGTTCACATACCCTCATTTAACCCATAAAGTTGTACAATGTGGATTTACCTACTATACATTTTCAACAAACAGTGAAATCTCCATTACACAACTTGTCGTACTAGTAACAGTTAATATATAAGCACATATTTCATGCAGGATTTATAATCTATATCCATGTAAAATTTGATGATTTATATGTTATCCCCATAAAATATGAATTAAAAATTTAATGTGGCCCTGATGTTAAGAAAGAAACAAAATATATGTTACATGGTTTCTGAAGATGGTTATTTTACATTACTCAATATAAATAGAAACAATATGTGAATAGAACAATATCCCACATACAATATGATACCAGCAAGGCATATAAAATCACAAAGAATGAATGTCACACTTACAAGCACCCCATAAAAGTCCATCTGTACTAACAGCTCGTACAGCTTTCTCCATTAGTTTCATATCTGTCTCATCATCCCATGGCTTTACATCCAGAATTATGTTAGATTTTGCAATAAGGGCAGGCTCTGAAATGAAAACATTAGAGTATAGCATAGTAAATTTGAATGCATAATAAGGTGTGAGGAATGTATGTGGAACAATTACATTTGCTGTAATCTGGGTACAATTAAATTGTTAAATCTCACTGGACCGATCTAATTCGAGAGACATCAGACTCTTCAACCTCAGAGGTTCAACAACCTGCAAGAGTACTCAGATTTTGTGTCTGTGACATGCTCATAAAAGTTTTATTTGTGTTTACTTACAGATGAAGTACCTTGTAATCAGTTTTTTTAACTTCTGCCTACACACATAAAAAGCTTAACTACCCTTTGCCAACAACACACATAAATTTCAAGTTCTTTGACCAATTTTCAGTTTCCAGCAAGATGTTTAACAGAGAAAAGAAAACATCAACTTCAGGAAACTTACTTTTAGCTTTCTTGGCTGCATATGCTGCTAGCCGGGCTTCTTTCAGTTTCTTGGCATCATCACTCTCTTCCTATGTAAAAAGAGAGAGAAAAACATGGATCTTCATGATGCCATATTACAGTCAATCGTGTATCCTGTATTTCATGAATTAGAAACTTCTTACATTAAAATAGTGAGAAGAGCTACCGTTTGTCCAACCCATGTCTTGCCGTCATCCACTTTTTATGAAGAAAAAACAAGCAATTTCTTTAACCAATCCACATAACTAAGCAATTTAGAGACTGAAGTAAAGAGCATCAGTGGTTTTAGATTTTTAAAGATTTAAAGGCCAGTACAAGAGCAGTTGATTTCCTGAGGACAGGTGCCCTGGTATGTTATCTGCCTCAATGATGGTCTTGTCTGTTCCTCTTTATCATACACCCCCCAAAAATTGTACTCATCACATAACTCCAACATTTTTTCTTCCAAAATTTCATGAGTAATTTATGTGAGGATTGGAAATAACCAATCACAGAAAATACCACTCTACTTGGCCTATCTGTAAAAGTAAAATATTTTTTGTAAAAACATATGTGAAAAAGATTGCTTATGTTTCTCATGAAGAGATTTTATATATTTACTGCAATTTCTTGCTTTGTGTATTTTCATTAAGTGCTGAAGCCTTACAAATAAGTTTTCAGCAAAGAAGACCTCAAATCTGCAGGCATTTTCTTTAATTCTAGATCTCAAGTCTCATGTCTTGTCCATCATATTTCCTTGGCACAGCAGTCACATTTGCATGGCAACCAAAATCATACCAAAAGTCACATGACATGAAGCAAACTACAAAGAATGATTCTGAGCTGTGTTCCCACTTGCCCATGTTCAGATTTTGGAATCATTTCTATCCACTTCAGATTTAGACAACTTTTTGTTGATGTTTTTCATACATAACAATGGAAAGTGTAAATTATGTTACAAAATATAATTAATTTTGCCAATAAATCCTACTCATTTACACATCAGACATACCTCAGAATCTGAACCAAACAAATCTACATCGTTTTCTTCATCCACCTCCTTGGGTGTTGTGGCTGGAGCCAATGAAGCTGTTCTAACTTCTGAGCTGCTAGATGGAACTACTGGGCTGGCATTACCAGATTTTTCTTCCACAGCCTTTACCCTTAATTCTAATTTGTCAATTCTTGATTCTAATTTGATAATTATTGTTTTAAGGTCATCCACATCTGTAGAGAAATACAGAGCAAAAGTAATTGCAAGTAACTACTGTTGTACAACCCTGCATCCAAATTCCTTGAATGTACACTTTCCCATAGTTTATACTGTCTTATTTTCAGTCACATTAACTTTCTTACCATTTCAGTATGTTAAGACATCAGAATACTACACACCTCATGAGATCAGAAAACAATACAGAAGTACACATTCATTCCCTGAGAGGGAAGACACTTGAGATGTTTCAATAAAAATTCAATCTTTATAATACTGGAAAAGGCAATGTTTTATTTCATGCCTTGCATTGCACAGCTGCAGGATCAGAGTTAAAAATTATAATAAAGAATATTTGTTATCTGAACTTAGTAAAGAACATTTTGCTGGCTTAAAAAGTTAAAAGTCTACCGTCTACATATGTAACATGTCATTTTTTCATTAGTTTTTAATTTAAAAACATATCCCTTTCAAGTTTCTGTACTTCTGCCATGTGGGTAAATGTGTTTAATAAGCTGTTCTGAAATGTATTAATGGTAGAATTTTTTATAGAGGATATCCTACATGTGCCATACCACAACAAACATTCATGGGACAAGAAGAGGTGCAGTCTCAATCCAGCAATAGATGGAGGTGAGTGGTCAACTTCACTTTTTGGCTGCCTCAACCTCAAGGAAAGAACCCCCAATATCTACAGAGTAGATGACTTGAGTGGGCCCCATAGAGAAAAATTATTGACCCTGCCAAAGATAAAATGGTTATTATACAGCCTTTAGCCTGTCACCCAGCTCTACTCTACTTTACATAAAAATAGAAAATTAGCTTACACTTTTTCAGATCTGCATTTTCTTTTTCTAATGAATTTATTCTGCTAACTTCAACATTTGATGTTGTTGCTAGAGCAGCAATTCCATCCATCTGTGAACAAATATACAATATTACCACTGGGTATAGAACATTGTTATATTAACTTCTAATTCTACACTTGCTTAACCCAAAATCTTCATGATTCTAAAGTCACAATCAGAGGAAGTGGAGTTCAAGATTATGAATTCCTCTTAAAAAAATGAGTATGACTTCACATTATAATGATGAAGAAATAACATATAACACTAAGCTGCTAAGAGAATAGTTTAATTTTCCATATATAAAATATAACATGCAAAAATCATAACCACAACACAAATGAAGCACACACATCATGCACAACCCAGTTAATGAACTGAAGATTATGTTTACTCACACATTCTAATGAATTTTTAATATGCTGCCGTGCCTTGGCAACCTCTCCAGCCAAGGAGTTTTTGTTGGGAGTGTTAGGAGATCCCTACACCAAAGAGAAACACAGAAAACAGTTACAGAAGTTAACACCATTCCCTTCATTCTAACAAAGAAGATATGAGTTATGATTGTTCAACAGTAATCTAATATACTCACCATTATACATGATCTGATTATTCAGTTTGGTTTTCCATGCACATTAAAATATTTGCTTAACTTAATGAGGCTTTATAAAATCACATGGTCCTATATAAAAATATAAATCAAGCTTTCATTTTTGTTTATCATTCTGTTGTGTGTTTGTACCAGTGTTTTATGGCATTCTTTACATTCTGTAAGTGATTCCTAATATTTCTGTTATGATCGTAAAGTAGCTACCAAATGGACCTCCCAATCCTTACTCAAACTTCTGAACACTTTTCAACATTAGCAACATACTTTGGGAAGACTTTTACAATGCTCAGTTTCCTTCAATTGTTTCAATCTTTATGAAGCTAGCAAGAACTATAATTAAAATTTATATATAATGACCCATTTTTGGACACAATTTCCACTAATACAGAACCCAACTGTTGCAGTAGTCAGACACAACCTGAAGTTATTTACTATTACCATGTCTGAAATTGCTGAAATGTAAACAATATAATAATAATAATAAAAAAGGCATATGTCACCAAATTTTAGTAAAACTCTCCAAATTTAATGAAAATCCATTTGTTTCCAAGTTGTTCCATACATAGACACAATTATAATAACCACTCTATAATGAGGTGAATGCACCAGAATCTTTGGAACTTTATAATTGGTTTCCCATAGACTATAACACAGCACTCTTTACAGCCCGGCAAACATCCAGGTGACATTCAATTACTATTCACATGCCTTTACTTTCTTGTAATTAATGAGCTAGAGTTGGAACTTACATCTGATAACAATGAACTTGAAACTGAAATTCTAGTCATTTTTTAACATGACACTCTGCCACATTTCAGTACAAACATTCAACAAGCTTTATGATGCTTGATTGGAAGAACTGATTGAATTACAAGTCCTACTGTTAAGCCCTGTCCAGACTTCTTTTTTGAGGATACATTAAGAAAAGTGCCCATTCTGCCAAAATTAATCATTTAGAGCACTCATAGGAAAAGAATCACCAAAGCCAATGCAAATACTACTAAAAATATGCTAAGCCACATAAGAAAATAAAATGATAATTACTTAATATTTAATGAGTGTAAAATGCAACCCATATTAAGGTCTAGTGAAAATCACTTGTTATAAATTATCCTTGGATTATTTAACAATAAATACTTTTATAACTACATAGGTTATACAACATCAAATGGTAGAATGACTGAATGATGAACAACAAACAATATGAAAATGGCTGTGGTCTATTTTAAGTTCTATCATAGAATCTGCCTGGAGGGACAGAGGAAAACTCATCAGGAAAGTTGGTGTTTCTGATGAGATTAAAATCCAAAACTCCAGCCTCCCATATGAAGTAGCATTGGCACTTAGTGAATTATTCAGTATAGTGCAAGTCTTCAAATTGACCACTGTTAGCTTTGTGGCACATTTGACAGCAAATGGCTGACACATGGCCACTGAATTGTACAAGTCTATACATCTTCTTCATACATCTGTATATTTCAGATACCCATATTTACAATTAGCTTTATGCAATTGGCCATGATGTCACATGTTGTGGCACAACTGGGTGTAAGATATGAAGAGAGATAAATATAGGATTGGATTCCAGCATCTTATGGCTAAATTTTAACTGCAATTTTGAAGTATTAATGAACGGATAGTGATATTTGAAGGGGAAAAACCATGATATGTAACCTGTACGGTGGAATTGCAGGAAATATGGTCAAATGACCAACAAATGTTTTCACTACAACCAATGACAAATGAACAAATGTGACACGAAAATGAAAGGGCAAGACACACTGTTTCTTTATAATCTGCAAAAACACAACTTGGGAGCATAATATTTTAGGGAGGATATCCTATACCCAATAATCAGATAACTGTTTATACCGTCTTCTAATACAGAAGATTTTAACACATTTATGAAGAAAATCACCACATTCTATATGCCTCCTTGGAAACACCATTTTCATGCCTTGTCACAAAAGAGAGAATAAAATATATAGCTGGCAATATTAGTTCTGCAACAATTCACATGCATTCATATTACAAAATAAGTTATTTCAGCACATCATTAAACTGATTTATGGACATCATGTGTCATTTCACAAATATTGCAAAGAATTTGGCCTACTATTTAAGGATGTAGGCAGGACTCATAAAATACCCTCCCACACCACAGGTAAGAAAACCCTCTCCACACCAACGTGCTGATCAAGCAAAGACTGGTTCTACCAGACAAGATCTAACTAATGCTTACAGCACTCTAATCAACTGAACATAATTCATATATATTAGAATTTGCTTGTAAAAAAATTACAGGAGATCTGAACATTACTTCTCATTTAACTGCTTATGTTTCAAAGTCCTTTCATTTTTTTGGGGGGGGGGGGATTAATTCAGTTCTGTAATCTTCAAACAAATAAAGTAATAGTGCTGAGTCACTTTAATAATTTATATCATATTAAAATCTTTCTTATACAAAGAGGTTCATTATTATCCCAAGTTATCTCAAACACATAATTTGTCCATTTATCTAAATTTGCTTAGGTCAATGAATTTTCCTAGTTTTCTAGAAAAAAAAAGACAAGCAAATAGATCAGACCTATTTTTTGTATGTACATATATAGTTTTACATATTTGTCTTAAAAACCTATTATGCATTTCTTCTGGTAGTCTTGAAATATGTTCCCATACAGTTTATGAACAACAGTTTGGGAACAAGTGAATTCAAGCATTTTTAAAATATACAATTTCAAGTTAAGACTCCATATCACTACCAAACAATTACTACACATAACTACAGATAACATCTCAACACAACACTCATGATTAATGTAGCTTCCATAATGCATCATCATGTACTTGAATTAGAAATGATGTAACTTTCTGGATTTGACATCCAAATTGCTTTATGATGACACGTGTCAAAACCACTGTAAAAGTTACACATTAAGTCCTGAGTCCTGCTTGTACCATATTTCTAAATTAATTTTATGTCACCACAGGCAAACATAACTATCAGAGTAATTAAATAACACAAACTGGCTTACAAATGTCTTTACCTTGTTCTCATCTTTATTAACTGTCCTCCTGTCACAACCTTTCTTATCAGCCTTATTATGCTTCTCCTTAGCCTCTTTGAGCTTGAATCGCTTGTCATGTTTTGATTGTGGTGGTGGGAGCTGTGAATTGGTGGTGCCTGTTAGAATAATTTCCTTTACCATACAAGATGGTGAGGCCCGAAGGTCTGGTAAGTCCTTTCTGTTCACTGCCGGAGGAGGCGGTGGTGGAGGAATATCATCATCCAGCAATGGTGATGGTAATTGCTTCTTAGGAGGGGAAACAACTCTAACAGGTTTAGAAGCTGGCTTCATCTGTGACTTAACTACAGCAAGAGGTTGCAGTGTCTTACGGTTATTTGAAATACCATTCTTTATCCCAAGCAGCTTGTAAAGAATAACATGGATACTTAATTAAACATCAAGTAATTATGGGCATATATTGGTCAGAATATATCTAATTCATGTTACAAGATAGAATACAAGATTAAATATATGTCTTTAAATATCAATCTTGTATGCTGAACAATCTTACATTCAAAGGGCTGTCTTCACCAAGTAGAAGTTGATATCAAATGCGTAATGTATGCTTGTCCACAAACAACAACACATAGGCCAAATTTCCAACATGCTTACTTATGTCTTACCTTTGCCAAGTTTTCAAAGTACTGCCGTTCTGCTTCATTGTATCTGCCTTTATCAAACCAGATTTTTTCATGAACAAGTGGAGAAGTCATAATGGAACTGGTTGCAATCTGTAAAAGTTATACAATATAAATACAAGATGCAGACATAACCTTTATGTGTTAAAAGTTAATCTCAGCAAATATCAAAAAGTTTAATATTCTGAGATTACATTATTCAATAAATCATGAGATAAAAATATTTAAGCCAGCACTAAAATAGTATCTATTGTCCCATGCTTTCTACACAGTAGAATAATTTACTTTAAACAATAATTCCCAACTATTACAAATATGTATAATAATGGTGAATATTTCTTGATGTAATTACTTTTCTGTAATACTGTATTATATCAGATGTCTGTAAGCAGCTGTTAAAACTATGTATTTTATTTATTGTATTGCACATGTATTATGACATATTCTACCTACATCCTATCTGTAAACAGCTGTTAAAGCCATGTACGGTATATAATATACTGCATTATATATGTTATTATAACATATTATACATCCTTGGCTCAGGCCTACTAAGGATCTATGGAATGTAAATAAATTCTATTCTTTTCTACAAATTTGTTGGTTTCTTCTCAAGATTACTCGTTAAGTTAAATTATTATACAGGGAATACACAAAAGAATGGTACGCAACAACCTTCTCCCTTGGCCACCCCGTTCGCCAGATCTTACACCGTGCGATTTCTTTCTTTGGGGGTTCGTTAAAGACAGCGTTTATGTACCACCATTGCCCTCGTCCATACATGAACTTCGTGATCGGATAACGCATGCATTGCAGGCCATTACAGCGGACATGATACACGGGGTCTGGGATGAGTTTGATTACCGTGTGGATGTGTGTCGTGTGACCCAGGAAGCACACATTGAAGGATAATAATTAACGCATGAGAAATTTGCCGCCGCTGACGGTGTATGTTGTGCCCGTGTAAGGTGAGAAATAAATTTTTTATTAACTTTTGAAACCGCACCATTCTTTTGTGTATACCCTGTATATTAATAAGTCATATATAAACCCTAACACTTTTGCAGAGAACTGAGAACATTATTACTCAACCATCCAAGGCAGTGGGAATAACTGTTTCAGAGGACGACCTCATGAACATGTATCAATACATACAAAATTTGATCTTAAAACAGTACATCAAAAATAATCTGTATCTCATAGCCTTCCTGTTCTAGTTCTGCTACATAACATATTTGCTATGTCAATGCTTAACTGCATTAATTATCAAATACAAATCACTAACCTTTACTTTCCTGTCATTTTACACGAGTTTAAACACGTTGCGTTACAGGAAGGTTGGCAACATCAGACACATGTTTCAGCATATGATTGTGATGTCCAACTTAAATATTAGTGTTAACATTTAAATTCTATTTGCAGTAACACTTCACATCATAGATCACATTACGAATATAGAACTGGTTAAAATATAAAGTAGAACAATCACGTACCTTTCTCAAATTCCCAACAACCGGCGTTCTTTACCTTTACTACACCGAGCGAGATCGATGTGGAAGATGTGTAGAAATGGATGAGGAAGATCAGATTTAAAGTCAATGAACTTGAAGTTTGAAATGCTAATGTGTGTTAAATAAAGTATTTTATTGATATGTACGATTAATAAAATGATTATGATTTGCAAATTAAAAATTACCTCATACGAAATTAAAATTATTTGTGAAAAGAAACTTGCGTATGTACTCAATCGGTGTTGCCTTCATGAGCGGCAATTTTAAAACATCCGCATATGTCAAAAGATATATCTGAAATTATGTTGAATAAAATTTCCGTTACTTATATCAGTTGAAATAATAAGTAGTAAATAAACATTGCTGCCAGTCACTTAATCTTGTTATGTTCTGGACTACAGTACCATTATGTTATTTCTATTTGGGTTCCCATACTAGGTGCAGTTCAAGGGTACTCTAGTAAAACAAGCCAGGTGTTAGATGATAATTGCATCTACTTGGATGCGATTGAAACCAAATACTGCTGCATAGTTGTTAGCATTCCTGGGTTGTGTTTTTGAAAGTTAAGTTTATTGTTTAACAGCAAACTAGTAGTTTCTAAGATATTTTACAATTTGCACATTCTAATTAGTGTTATGTTACATGTATTTAAATATGCACAAAAAAGCTATTTTATAACTAGCACAATTTTGTCTGGTATTATATTTTAACAGTTAAATAGTTTACTGAACATTACTACATCCTTGCACTGAAGTCTCAAGCAGGTGTGCTGCCTATTTCTTAACAAGGGGCTTGTACCAGCAAGCCACATTTTCTATTTCATTTTTGGGCAATTTTAACCTACTCCAACCTTGTATTACCACTTTTGCCTTACCTACCAGCCTTTAATAACTTAGCCTAACCCACCCAAACTGAATCTGAGGTCATTGTACTATCTTCATATTCATCCATGAAGATTGAAAAGAACCAAAAAAGCTCTGTTACAATAACTGGTACTCTGGCCAAGATTGAATGTACCTCCAGAATACAAGTATTATTTCTACACCAATTTGCAGCCAGAAGACAGTGGGTCAATCTCTTCTGGCTAGAAGTTTTAAAAAGAAAGAAATAAAACATGTCATGCCTTAAATTTATTTACTATACTTCAATTTTCTTTGCAAAATATTAACAATTTGTTAAAAACACTGTACTGCATACATTCTAAAGTGTCACCACAAACTGTTGCATGGCTGGTATTATAGAAGTGAAGTTCATCACAGTAGAATGACTGGTTTGGTGCTTCACATTTGGTTCAACTGGAAATTACAAACAAATTCAGCTTAGGAAATGAATTTCATTTGTACTAAGTGGATTGAACTACAGAAAGCACTTTTCATGGAGTTCTCAAAGATGCATAAAGTACTAGGAAATTATGCATTACACATAATTAATGTAACTTATTTCAAATAAAATATGCAAAGGACATGCTGATGCTCTCCTTCCTGGGATGTTCTCTGTTAGCTACCAGCATACCCTTGGTAGAATATAAAGGGGCATGCATCATGAGAACATAACACATGTAGTAACTTTTATTTGAAACATTATTTAAGATGAAGTACAGGAAAAAATTATTTATGACCAAAGTGTCAATATAGCCTGACATACTATGTACCAATAGATCTGCACAGACACAAGAGTATGCAAAATTTAAATAAACATATTTGAAGAATATGTGTAATGCAACATGAAGTTCGCCATTCCGCTTGTTTATTAAATTGTCAATTTGGAGTTTGCTTTCCAGTCTTGCTTTTAAATTATCAACCTGCAGTTTGCCTTTTCACTCTTATTTTTAATTATCAAGTACCATGTTAAGATGACGCAATTACTATGACTTTTACATGTTGTTGAGGCTTATAATTCCATCCCAACCTCTGAACTCACAGAACTCAGATGGCAGGATTTTCATCTTTCACTTGATGATAGAATCAATTATTAGGTTATTTCAAGATGGTTTTAATTGCAGAGGTTACATAGCACCAAATCAGATGGGAAGACAGTCATGAACATTAACTAGGTAAGAATCTGGTAGCAGACTCCAAGACCTGTTTCAAGGTACAATACCTAAGAAACCTGTAAAGCTGATATTCAAACTGGGTACCACAAGAATACAAGTCTAGAAATTACTAGTATACAAATCTAGCCAGTTCTGATGATAAAATGATGGCCTGCAGAGACCTACAGCTTTATATGAAATCTGAATCTTGTTCTGTGCTGGTACACCCTACATTACCAAAAATTTGACTGTCAGTTTTGGGAAATGAATTGAACATCAAGCCTATGTCTTATTGTTAAAGAGCAGAATGTCAGAATAAATTTCATACCAAATCATCTGCATCCATATCATCATCAAAAGCTGCTTCCAGTTCTTTGGATTCTTCATATTCCAGAAACTTTCTAGCATCATCATCAGTAACAGAACTCTCGGCACTTTCTTGTGAGGAGATGAGACCAAGCTTGGCTATGCGATATGATAAACTGCATCAGTATGTCTGACTGGTTATACTGCACACATTGCATAACTGATCCAGTCAGTGGTATATGAAAGCATGGCTCCTTCTGGCAATATGCACTGGCATGCTGTTTATGCACGTTCACAACTAAGAATTTCAAAAATGTACCTACTAGTTTTGTCGTGTCTGTCTACATGTTACAACCCAAAAACCACTGAATGCAATTTCCTGAATTGTGATACTGGTAAATGTTATTAAACAGCAAACATTAAAATGTTGTTTCAAATCCGACATAAAAACTGGACACAAATGTGTAGACCAGTGGTCCCCAATCTTTTTGTGCCTATGGGCACATTTGAGAGTTTATGAGATCGTGGCGGGCACCAATCAATTAACAAAGCCAAATTTTCTTTTCTCTGGACAAATAATACACAAAACAACACAACTTTTAATGATACAAGAAACCATGCAATCAAAAATACATAGTTTTATAAGTACAATTATTATTACTCAAGTGGAAAGTTAGTGTGATGTTTGGCACTGCATTTCATCAGCCAGTTTTTCAAATTTGGTAGTGTAGGACGATGTTGCTGCTCGCAAACAATCGTCAAGATGGGCATCAGTAAGTCGAGATCTGTGCTTTGATCTTATAATGTTTGTGGTTGAACGGCCTTCATTATTCAGTATAACCTTTTTCGTAACAATGCGGGCACCCAAAAGAACCATGGCGCCTGCGGGCACCGCGTTGGGGACCACTGGTGTAGACCTTCATGTGTTTGTGAATGTGGACACGATTGGGTAGCGAATTCCAAAGCTAGCTGTACAATCACACGTGGAAATAATTCTTGATGACATCATCACCTAGCCAGACACTCCTCACCTCACTTTCACACCAAGGTCTGTGACCCCATGACATCACTGGTGCCATTTGCAAAGATCAAATTATGGCAGACACACCTGAATTGTTATGCTATGTGTACATTCTTAAACTTTTGTTATAAAAAGAAAAATATTAAATTAAAAATATAATAATTATAAATTTGTTGCGAAGAGAAGTGAATAAATGAACTTCAGAAATTGTACAGCAGCCACGCTGGTGGCTTTCCAGGATAAAATCAAATATTTTAAAGGTTAATTTCAGATAACTATGAGTTTCTACTATCTAGCCACAATCATGGACAGGTAAAAAATCATATTTTTTAAGTCTGAAAATAATAATACTTACCTTTAACCAGAATGTCCCAGAATGCCCTTTTGTCCCTTTCAAAGAGGCTGTCCCTGAACTGTACAACCCAGTCATTGTATAATGAGGGATCCTTAATTATACAGGTCTCCCTTAGTGTCTGAAGAGCCATCTCAGCTTTAACAAAGTTGTCGGCACCAAAGGAATAAATCACTAGATTAAGTATTACCTTCTGCATTTGACTGCAAACTGTAAAGAGAATGCACAACTATTTATATCATTTGCAAGTAGTTTCCAAATTGTTTTGTACTCCAAACAATTTAATCTCTTTTGTGAATCCTCTCCCACTTCATCCTTCCACACAGCCCTCAGTCTCCCCAATGGTCTGTATATTCAATGTCTTCATTTCCTGTTCAGATCATAGAAAGGATTTAATTCAGTTTCTTCAGTTATGTTGTCTAAAAAAATGAAAATCTCTAAATATGTGACTATGTACCCTTATTGAAGTCTTCTCCCCTCTCTAGAAGGGCTTTGAAGTCCTGAATAGGCCTCACTGTTCCCACTTCTACCACTGTAGCCTCAACGAGGGATGCCATTGTAACATCTTTCAAATCCACATTGGATGGTGCTTCATCAGATTCATCTTTTGCATTTCTGAAAAAATAAATAAAGTAAAAAGAAATTCTGGAAAGATCTCATGATGCCCGATTTTCTTCTGGTGAGGCTAGCAGAAACTACAAATTAATATGTGAGATTTGAAGTTATCACAGTAGTGTAAATTTGGATTGTGGTCTTCCACTTTATTATGACATGCAATTTTAGGTGGTTACCAACTTTTTGGAGAAACTTATTCCCTCTGTTAAATTTTCCTGATATAAACTCAAAACTTCACACTATCACTATATTTGTAGTTTTTATCGTCGTCTCATACAAAATTGATATGCATGTTTATGGTCAATGTCCACAGAATATTCTGCATGTTTGGTTCCAAAGGTTCATTAGTTACTGCAATAAACCTGAAAGCTAAACATATACATTGCATGGTGGCCATGTTGTTTTTCATTT